TGGGGTTTAATGTAAGTTTAATATCCCAGAGCTTAGGGATACAGTTGCGATGTAATAAGTAATTTTTAAAGATTATACATTGTGTATAATCAGGTACGTGTTTGGTATCAATAAGAAAGACACATAAGATTGATTTTTGTTTGCAGCAAAGGCAAGTATGGTGGTGTTGAGAGTGAGGAGTAATTTCAGTAAGGGTTGGATTAGTATTAAAATTCAGAAAAAGAATTTTAGGGTTTGCAGTTGGTTGTTGTTGTTGTTGTTTTGAGATAGGTGAAGTTGGCAATTTATCAGTGATTCTGTTAAAGCATTTAGCAGAAATAATTGAAGATTTTTCTATTGCAGCTATTCCTAAGATTGTTTGAGGCAAGATTTTGTAATATTGTGAGGTAAAGTTTGTATGGTACTTGCCACAAAGGCAAGTAGCAAGTTGAGGTTGAGCAAGAACTTTAAAATAATGATGCTTTTTAGTTGGACTAGTATCATATATTTTTGGGTCGATATTAGCTGGTAAGACACGCAATTTGTCAGGACTAAGTTCCATTATTCCAATACCATGATGATCTCTGTATTTAGAGTAATAGTAATCGATATTGTAGGAATCTGGCTCTTCAGAGATAAGAGAAGACATGTTTTAAATAGTTTAAAGTTGAAGATATTGAAGAGAGCTTCGAGACAAGCTAAAATTTGTTTCATGTAATGTTATTCAAATGGTACTACACTTGTGACTAGTGTAACAAGTGTGGCTGGTGCAGCTGATGTGGCTGATGTAGTACACAATATAACATGTGTAACTTTACTATAAATAGTAAGGCTTTGTGCTTCGTATGCTAAAATTAAAAATAGTAATTTTAAAAATAAATATTAGTATTTTTAGAAATTATAAATAATTTGTTTGTTTTTAGATTTTTGCCGGATTTGTAATTTGAATTACAAATCTTGTATGCAAGATAAATTTTGTACAAATTTGATAAGGTCCAAATTTAGTAGTCTGTAATTTATGTTACAGTTACAATTTTGGCCAAAATTAGAAGAAGAATTGATTATCAAAAAAGTAAGAATTTTTTGGGGCAAAAGAAAAATTTATAGGCGTTTTTAAGCTGTTTAAGACACTAGAGAGCTCAGTTTTTGTGCTAAAAAGATGGTTTAGAGCTTGTTATGACCGGAAGAGGCTGGCCAACAACTTTACTTAAGAGCACAAAAGAGGTTTAGAAGCTAGTTTTAAAGATATTTTAGAATTCCGGAGCACTTAGTTTTTTGAAGATAACTCTGCTTAGAGGAAAGCGAGAGTTATGAAACTAGGCTGCTTAGATGTAAAAATATGTGTAGAGCAAGTTTACTTAAGAGCACTTGCTTGGTTTACTTATAAAATTTTGAAGAAATTTAGTTTTATTGTAAAAAATTTTTGGGAAAATTTGGTACAAGAGATCTACAGATTAAGTGCACCCAATATTAATTTTAAAATAATAGAATATAAATAAGAATTATACAACTTACTTGTTAATAATTTTAAATTGTTCTGTTACTATATTCATGTAGGATCGTAATTTGAAGTTAGATAGTAATTTTTCAAAACATTATTTTTCACAAAGCTTATATAATATAAATTTTAATTCATCATTTAAATCATAATAGATTAAATTTACTAAAAAACAAAAGAAATAGGAGTATCTAATGAATCATTGAATAATTCAGACAAATTCCATTTTGCTGACGGATTATCTGCTAGATGAATAATGCGTCCACAAAATTCAAATTCGAGTGGTTTATCATTAACAATTTCACCATTTTCTAAACAATTTTCAAGATCTAATGTTTCAATCTAATTCTCAACTACATTTGACCAATACTCTTCATTATCAGAGACTTCAGAATCATCTATTATGCCTTCTTCAGTCATTTCAGCTACTTTAATCGAATCAGTTATTTCACTTAGCAGATTATCAAGTTCAATTTGTGGATTATTAGGTTCAATTGGTGAATTGTCAGAAGTTGGTAAACTAATTTCATTATCACTTGTAGAAGATTCTTCTAATTCTGGCAAAATATTTTCATTATTATTAGGTTGTATAAGGGCTGCAATATGAATTCATTTAAATTGTCATTCAGATTGTTCAATGTCATAACGTTTTCGCTTACTTAAGATATTACTACGCAATTAGCTTATTGCTAGCACTTTTTCATACTTAAAATGTTGAATTTAGATTAGTTATATAAACTTAATTTGAAAATAATATTTATATATACAGATAAATGATTTCAGTGATTTGTATATAAAAAACCCATTGTTGACCATAACCACTCAACAGAAGCTGAATTAATATATATTCCAAATAATTGTAAAGCCAGTTGAGACAGTTCTGGTGCGAGACCTCTTGCTGATTCCCAAAAATCGATAACATTCTTATCAAATTGACTGTAAGTTTCCTTATCAAAAGAAAATACCTTTCTCTGGTACGATAAAAATTCACGTAAAATACGTTTTGGTGCTTCTTCAAACTATAAGTAGTAATAATAATTCAACCATTGTTCAAAATATGTATAGGAGAGATCAGAAACACAGGAAGAAAACTTTGAAAGGCGATAATTTGGATGCAAAACTAATGATAATAAAAGTAGTGGTTGTTCCTATTGAAACCAACGTTTTTCTAAATGATTTACTATATTATCTGAAAAATCTTCTTCATCGTAGTTTTTAAAAACTTTAACAAGCTATCCAAAACAGTGTACAACTTCATATAACCTTGTGACGTCTTTCTGGAGTTTATTAAATATACAACATAAAGGAAATAGCAAATCCTGAAGATTGTAAAGCTAGTTCCAAAAGTGCGAATTTTGTATAATTGATATAATATCAGATGAAAGTATCTTAATCTCATTAGTATTTTTTAATACAAATCATTGCCATGATAGTCCACTTCGTGATGTACTAATTGTTCTAATTCTTGTTAGTAAATATTTTGTTGCAAGTGTCTATTCATATAGAAACAAATAGATAAAGTCAAAAAATATATTATCAAAATTTTAGAATGCCAGGTCTGGCGATCTTAGTGTAGTAGTTAGGTTGCCAGACCGCCATGCAAGAGGTCTGAGGTTCAAATCCCACTGTTGACGAATTTGAATAATTACTCAAACCTTTGTACCCTACTTACGGTAAACCCTATTCGTTTCTGGGGTTGTAACCCTGTAAATCATATTGCACCAATATCATCTGGATATTAGAAGTGTAATGGGGCGTTTGGCGAAACGTAACGTTATATGAATAAATCTTAATAGAATCTACAGGCAAGGGACCTGCATAGTAAAAATCCCAAGTTGGTGAAGTAGTACAGCTTTCGACAGTCACACTAGCTAATGCTTGATCCAGAAAGAAAACTATTGACAAAAGATGCTGATCGAGTCGGGTGCACATAAATCTAGTTCATAAGGAGAATCAGTAACACTAACCTGGCTTGGCGGCTAACTGGATTGGAAGGATCTGCCTCATGAAATATCTGAGAAGATAGATACAGAAAACTGGTGGAGAGCCACAGTAGGAACTAAGGTTGTATGAATATCTACAAGGGTCTAAGCTAGATGAATCTGTAAAATGGGTACAGACTACTCTAGTAGGTATACTTCGAGGTTAACTGGCTCTGCAGTGCTAGCAATGCGTCTAGTATAATGTATCCCGAGAGGACCTAAGCCATTCTGAATAAATAGATTCGTAACGAGCTAGCTGGCTTAAGTGGTTAGGTATTGCGATAATGTTAGGTTGGATCTATATGAGTTAATGAACAGAGTATTTAAATAGGTAACTCACAGGTGGGTTACAGGTATGGTAGCATAGTGTAGAACCAATTGGGTAGTCTAATCGCCTGTGTGGCAGACTACTTAAATTAGACAATGACTAAAGTTGTACATGTGGCTTGTTGTACACTCTTCATATAATTACAAACAGTAGGGACTATCAATGTATATTCCGTATGCAATTCTAATAAAATTCCTTCGGCAATGTAAGCCGCCTTAATAACAAAAAAAAAAAAAAAAAAAAAGAAATATATCTTTAGCAAATAGCTATTGTGTTTTCTAATTTGCTCTATATGTTTAGACTATCTTTTGCTTACAATTATACCTACTCCTGAACTTTTACTTTTGCTTTTTTCTGTATTAGACCAAAAACTATATATATTTTCTTAAGTTCTGGCTTATACTAGCCTTTTTTTTCTGTGATATTTGTTTCTATTACTCCTACTATATTATATTTATTTTCTTTAAATTTATCTATTAGTATGTCTAACTTATGTTTATTGCCTTTCAAACTATTAATATTATATGTTGCTATTTTAACACTTTTTCTAATCTCTATTGCATTTATGATTTTTTTACTTGTACTAATACTCTCTTTGAACTGGTTTACCTCTTGTCTTGTCTTGTTTCTTTATACAAGTTTTCCTTTTTATACAAATAAGGCTTCTTTTAATTCAACTAATACATAAGTTAGAAATGATTTGAAAGTTTACCCTTCAGATCTCTAATTTTTCCTTTCAAGTTTTGTATTAATTGAGCTATATAATCTAAGAACTTGTTATGATTTATATGATAGCTTTGTCTATTTAGATTTTCTCTCTCATTACTTCTCATTTTCTTTTAAATACTACTTTTTTTTTCTATTTAGACTTTTCTTCTTTACTATTACTTAATATAGTCTAGGCTCTTCTATATATCTTCTAGTTTTCTTTATACTTCTTTAATGCTAAACTAATCAAAGCCTCTTGCTGATAACTTTCTCTTCTTTGTACTTTTTCTTGTACATATTTTGAGCATTCACCTTCTTGTTCTTATTCAAAGTCTTTTCTTTTTCCTAAGCTCTTTTTACTTCTTTTTGTAACTACTTCATTCTTTTTGAAAGCTTAGCTCTTTGATTTTTTAGTAGCTCTACTTCTTAGCCTCTTGTATTTACTCATTTTAGCTTATTGTTATAGTAGTATATCAAAAATCTAGAAATATTTATTATATCTTCTTGATTTTTAAAATTTACTGTCACACTACTCATATTATTATTATTGGCATTTTGGAAAATATATAATACTTTGGCTTCAGAATTCTTGATTTGTTTCTAGAGCAATACTTTATTTGTATTTTCTAGTAGATCTAGTAGTCTTTTGCTAAATTTGTTTCTTGTATGAAGTAATTCAAAATTGTTAGTACTTACTGTTACCCTTACTAATACCTGATTCACGAAAGACAAACACCAAGTCTTATTTATTTTCTTTTTATTATAGATGCCTGCTTTAAACTCAATCTCTACTCTTGTTTTGTTATATGTACTTTTGATTATCTCTATATATTCTATTCTTCCTATAAACTAAACTATCTCAAAAACTTAGGATCTTTTTGCTTAGTTTGACAAGTCCCAAACTGTTACTTTGTTTTTCTTTTTAGTTTTATTTAAGCTATTAGAATCTTGTTGAGCCATAAGATTTTCTTTACTTGTATATTTGTATTGATTTGAGATAATTATATCTCTTTTTTTCTTTCTTGTTAAAACTTCTTCTAACTCTACTTTTGCCTATTCTTCTATTTTTTCTTTTGTGTCTGTAATAATACTCTCTCTATTTTGACTATCTAGAAGTTGAGCAGCTTTGTTTTCTTTTATGTTAGCTTTATGAATTAATTTAGCTTGCTTATATTCTTCTTTCTTGTATTCTAGTTTTCTTTTGGCCTCTTTGTAGACTTTTTTACAGTCAAAGATTAGAGTATACTATAAATTACCCCACTCAAATTTTTCAGATATTTCTTTGAAATTAACATTTCTTTCAATTAATCACTTTAGAGATTTTTCTCTATAACTTGCATTATCTTAAGTACTTTAATAGCTACTACCTTTGCTTTTATATTTTCTTTTCCTTCACACCTATCTTTACTTAGTATCTATATACTTTTCTTGAGAGAGGAGTTAAACTCAGCTAGTATCAGATCATCTTCTAATTCTTCTGTAGTGTCTGAGTAGAAATTTGTACTTAGTTTAAGGATCTCTTTATCTTGAATTTTTTTAATGTCTTTCATAAGGCTGCAATCTTTTTTAATTCTTTCATTTACTAGAAGTTGATTTTCTAGAAGGGCTTGTTCTTTTTCTGTACTATCACCTATCTTTGTAAGATTTATTTGGTCTGCTATTTCTATATCTAATTTACCCTCACTCTCTTGCATTATTAATTTATCTCTTCTTACTACTGTGTCTTGAATTTTTGTCTTAGTACTATCTTTATTTTATCAATTCCTTCTGTTATTGCTACTCTCTCTATTACTTTTCTCAATTTTCTCACTACTATTACTATATTACTATCTATTTCTAAAATTTTTGCAATTATTTTATCTATATGTCTTTAAGACTCATTACAGCATCACTTCCTTCAGCTATTATTTCTTTGCTATATTCTTTTGTAACTACTCCAACTAATTTTGTTGCCTTAGCTCTATTCTATATACTTCCTAGCTCTATATTCTATTTGTAAAGTAATCTTGTCTTTTTTGTTAATTCTCTATAACTTTTCTAATTATCAGTAAGCTGTCTGGTTTTGGTTTTGTATATATTATTTCTACTATTCAGCATATGATATATAAATTTACCTATAATGCATTTTGTTTACCTCAATTTGCATATGTTTGTACTATATTAAGTAATCTACATCTTAGAGTTTATTTGATTCCTCAAATTTCTAAAAAAAAAAAATTTTTAACATTTGTTCTAAAGTCAAAAATTCTTCTATATTTCTATTTTTTCCTAGCTTTTCTTCTGTTCTTCTATCTTACTATATATATTTTTTTCTTCTGCTTTCTTTTATTTAGTAGCTTTAATGCTTGTTCTTAGTAGAAATTTTGTGTTTTTTTTGTTTTTCTTTCTGTTCCAAATTTGGTCAAAATGATCAACAGAGAGAGTTTTTCTACTTGTATATATAGATTATATTATTTTTTTTTAGACATTAAGGTGAGTACTTAGCTCAATTTATTTATTGCAAATTAAATTATCTATTATAATTATTATATTATAATTTCAAACTAATTTACATTTTACTAAATTAAGCTTAGGATATATGGTATATTTGTATATACTATCTATTCTTGTACAAGACCTACTAGAGTAGTCATAGCCTATAACTATATATTACTTATATTTTTATAATTTCTTTTTCTCAAGTATG